AAAAAAATAGATGCTAGAGTTTTACTTTTATGGAAATGCTCTTTTCAGAAATGCTTCATCAAATGAGCTTCTTTCTCAGGTTAGAAAATATCTCTTGGTCGTGTTCAATTTGAGAAAAAATATTCACGTAAAAAATAAAGAAAAGTTGCTGTCTTCAATGAAAAGCGTTTGGCGTCAAGAGAATATGATCTGGATCATAATCTATTGTTGACGTTCATATATTTTTCTTCTTGTTTGCACGATCTATACAGTCCCTTGAACCCACATTGGACCTGACAAGCAAGGTGCCACCGAAGGTTTACCTCGGAATACTTTTGACCTGCGCGCGCATTTAGAGGGGGGGGGGGGNGGAGGGGGCGGAAGGGGCTACCATATAGAGCCTCCCGTCCCTGGTCAGTCGACTGTGCAAAACCCTGCTTTAACATTCCCTGCAACATTTCCAAAAATCCGAGCAGTCGTAGCACGATGAAGGTCGCGTATCTGTTCGATTGAGTGACGAGAAGATTTGAAACAAGAATCAGGTTTCCGTATGCGAAAAAATTGAACTGATCAAGTCTTCAAACAAACTTGAAGCACGTCGTTTCAGACATTGATTGCTTTGTTCTCAGATTTAAACTATATGCACACATTTAAAGAGAACCTTTGCATACCGTCACCTTTGTTAGCTTCTCAACCCCTTTCCTTTGCGTTTCCCCACGGGCGTTCGCTTTTACGAGCTCGAATAAATATTAGCCTGCATTGCAGCCGGACAGATCATAAAATCTCCGATATAGTCCGTCTGCTAAACGGCTCCCAAAAGCTTGTTCTGATTTCCCGCATAGATACACGAATTTCTGTATCCATTTCTGATTGGCTAGTTTCTTACGCGTCTTCTTATACTGGCGGTTTTGACTGTCTGCGACGCAAGCTAGGCAAAAGAGGGACTCAATATGATGTGGTTAGAAAATTTAACGCTACCTATATGCACATGCAATGTAGTTGTATTGACAGCCTAAACCCTTAAGCGTTTTAAATGGCTTTGCCTCAGTTATAGAGTATTTTGAAGTCCATTATTACATCTTTTCCAAACCGAAAAAAATTTCAGTTTCAAATGTGATGCGTACTTTTCAAGG